GTGTTAAGCTGTTCCAGCCTGTTGTAGGCGCAGCATATAACAATATGTTTCTCTTGTTTTCTTGTTTTCTGTCTCCTCCATCCTCGGGCACACTGTGCTACTGTCATCTTCGAACTGTCGTCCATCACAAGACTATGTATAATTCCAGTGTTAAGCTGTTCCTCTTCCCTTATCCTAGGGTCTTTATGCTCCTGATTTCGCATATTCTGCATGTGCCTGGAAGTTGACCCTGCTTTCCATGTGCGCATTAAGCCAACCTCCAGTGTCACCTTATGTGCAAACAAGACTCGAAGAACGCGAAGGAATGTGGAGGATCAATGTGCATATTGTATCCCATGCAGCGAGATGAATCTGCCAGGACGTTTCCCAGCCAATTTTTCTCCGATGCGGCCGTCCACATGCCACGAGTTTCATGTCCGTCCACACGGCACGAGTTTTGCGTCCGTCCACACGCCACAAGTTTCCTGCGGATGTGGTAGTGGATTAGTAGCGATGTTTCGCGTCCGGATTACCAAGTTCAAAACAAACCCGAGTGGACGGACGCAAAACAGCTATCAATCCACTACTACATCCGGGGCATGATTTCGGGTCAGAAAAACAGCCCCGGATGTAGTAGTGGATTAATAGCACACTTTTCATGCGGGTTAGGACCTGCCAAACATGGACTGAGACACACAGCTGATTTCCGAGTTTTGCCAATGGAACGCATGCCTTGCTGAGTTTCCCGCTTGCTGCTGAGTTTTCTAAGTCTGAGTGTGTGTGCGCTTGCTGGTCTGCATGCCTGTCTGAGTGCTTGTTGTGTGTGTGACCCACGAGGATACTTGTCCGTGTGGAAGTCCCAAAGGGCCGGTACTTACCTGTGGCCGTGGCACTGAGGGTTGCAGCGGGGGAAGACACTCCTTTTTTGAAATTAAATTCATTTAACAAAAATATAGTGATTTCATAATTGAACAAGTAGGCCGGTACCACACCAGGTAGAGGTAGATGTGCCGGGTACTCGAGGCCGAGCAGAAGAAGACAAAGTTGGCATTTTTACAGGCCCAGTAGTTGTAGGCTAGGTGTTGGCGAGTACCAGTCCAACCAGTCTGAGTATAGGGCCTGCACGGGCAATATCAGAGTCTGCAATGACGTTTCTGTTACGGACTTCGCCAGGGCTCGATCCCTGGTCTATCTTTTTGCTGTTTCGGCTGCATCCCGTTGTCGGCCTGGCACCCTTTTTCCAAACCCCTCCTTTGGTACCGTAGGATTTTGGACAACTGGCGCCATGCTGCAATTCGGGTGCCACTTTCAAATACTGCATTTTTCAGTTCTGCCCTCGGGCCTTTGCAGAAATGCCCCTGGTACCGTACGTGTCACCGGTACTTATACCAGCTCCCCGTACAGTACGGGGACCAGTCTCGTACCAGTTTTCTGCTGCTGTACTTGTGCTTCGGTGTGACTTGCTTCGACATTGTGTTCGGAAATCCAAAACTTCGACTTTGCGACTTTGCCACTTCGTGTCTGCGTCCGTCGAGTCATGTCGAGTCTGCGTCGAGTTGAGTGAGTGTGTGTGTGTGTGTGCTCTCACTCTCTCCCTCTCTCTCCCAACCTCGTTGCCTCAGCCCCGTCACAGTTTCCCTCCGAAAGGGAGGAGGTACCGGTTGCTTGGAGGCCGCGCGGCCTAGGAAGTCACTCGCCAAGAGGCAAGCAGGCCGGTACTTACCTGTGGCCGTGGCATTGAGGGTTACAGGGGAAGACACTCGAGTGGCGGGAAAAGGCCGACGACACTCAGCGGAAAAACACTCAAGTGGCAGGTAGGCCGGTACCACACCAGGTAGAGGTAGATGTGCCGGGTACTCGAGGCCGAGCAGAAGAAGACAAAGTTGGCATTTTTAGAGGCCCAGTAGTTGTAGGCTAGGTGTAGGCGGGTACCAGTCCAACCAGTCTGAGTCTAGGGCCTGTACGGGCAATATCAGAGTCTGCAATGATGTTTCCCTCCAAAAGGGAGGAGGTACCGGTTGCTTGGAGGCCGCACGGCCTAGGAAGTCACTCGCCAAGAGGCAAGCAGGCCGCTATATCTCCAGGAGGAGGAAAGTGCTCCTCGTTGTCGGTGTGAAAGTTTGGCAACACACTGGTTGGAGCACTGGCTGGAGCAGCGCTAGCATCAGCGCAGCGCTGCTGGGGAGGAGCAAGGACAGGAGGAGGAAGAAGACCAGGACTAGAAAGGCAGAGGCACTTACCTGGTTATGGTAGATGCCATCTTCATCACCTCGGTGGGCGCTGCATCTGGAAGGCCCCCGTTGGGGTAGAGCTACACCAAGAAGTTTCGAGGCAGAGTCAGGCATGGCAACCTCGGCCTTCACAGGGGCATGCCGCAAATAAACGCAAACATCCATAGCCTCAACGA